ATAAGTAATAACATTTGGCTTCAAATTCCCACCCTTTAGATGCATACTCTTTACCACATTGTGCGCAATTCTTACTTTCCCAGCTCTACACAACCCTTCGACAATCGTGTTATAGCTTATAAAATTCGGTTTGCAATTAAACAACTCCATTTCTTTAAAGAACCTAAATGCATCATCCATCCTCGAGTTCATACAAAATCCTCTTATCAAAATATTAAACGTGTATAAATTGGGCTTTGCACCATAAGTCTTAAGCATTTCATCATACAACTCAAAAACCTTTCCCGTCCAACCCCTTTTGAGCAAAATTAAAAACAAATAATTAAATGTAATCGTAGAAGGCGAAATACCCATCGATTTCATGGTTTAAATACCTCAATCGATTCCCTGAAAAGCCGGGCATTACCATAGCTCCTGCTCAAGCTGCTGAATAACTTCTCAGTTAGTGGTATAGCATTGTTAGACTTCGCTGGAATAGAGAGGAGGAAATTTCGAGCGGAATTGAGGTTTCGGGCCCGACCAAAAATTTCGAGCATGAGGAAGTAGGAGTGCTCCCTGTGGGTGAAACCCGTCTTTAGGGTCCAGTTGAAGAAGTGGAGAGCGTTGGAAGGGGCCTTCATGAGGCGTAGGTTTTGAAGACGCTGGTGTCGGAGAGGTAAGTGTGAGTGGAAAGGGAGGATTCGAGTTGTGACCAGGGCATTTTATTGATGAGCCATGCCATTGTTCGGGCTTTCTTGCTTTGCTCTGGTTTGTCAGTTCGAAGGTGAATATCATTTTTACTATTGTTGGGTTCTTCGGCGGCAGCGGCAGAAGTGGTGGCGGTGGATTTTTCGGAGAATAAGTATGTGAGATTTGAAGGTAAGAGTGAGGTTGAGAATACGCACATGAATTTGGAAAGAGGGTTTTCAAGGGTTATAAAAATTTGGCGTTATGAGAACGGAAAGAAAGCCATGAAAAGGGTTTGTATGCATCTCGGTGGTGCCCAGCGGCGCTGCCACTCCTACAACCACTTTCGACCAAGTAGAGAAATTCAGGCCAGCTGGTTTTGTGTTTCATTTTAAAAATTTGAGTACGTTTTCAGTTTTCTATTTCAGGGTCTGTTTAATTAAAATGTGTTTAGTTTATTATTTAAAAATTGTTTCTCAAATAACAAAAAATTTGAAAAATTATTTTATGATATTTTATTAAATTGATTATTCAGTAAAATAAAATAATTTTATGTTAATATGTTCTTTAAAGTTGACGAATCTTACAAATNTGATATTTTATTAAATTGATTATTCAGTAAAATAAAATAATTTTATGTTAATATGTTCTTTAAAGTTGACGAATCTTACAAATATTTTTGCTATAAAAGTAAAATAAAAATAAGTAATATATTGAATTGACAAAATAGAGAAATATATGTATATAAATTATGGTTTGAAGGAAGTATAGGACTCTGAGTGCTTGAACTTTAAGATTTAGGATCCCATTGTAAAAATATTCAAAGTTAGGCACCACCGACGCTATTTACCCTATAAAGTTCGATGGCCATGGTTTAAAGTTCGATAATGGTGTGACTAGGTGGAAAATTCCACAGTCATGCTGAAACAAGTTAGAGTTCGGTCACCATTGTGATACTAAGTGGAAGTTCAGTGGTCATGGTGAAATAAATAAAGTTCGGTGACCACGATGATACTGAATAAAAAATTCGATAACCATGGATGAAATTAACCCTATTCTTATTCGTTATTCTACTTCATTACTTACAGATGGAGTTCAGAATTTGCTATAGTGGGATCTTCAAGGAAAATGGAGATGAATATAAAATGGGTGATGATAGGTGTACAGGTAAGGGTTCACAACATGGAGAGTGGGTGGGAGGAAGGTGGGTTAATTTTTTAACATTATTTATTTATGTGAGACCCATAACTTTGTGAGAGATTGTACACATTCTGTAAAAACAAAATTCTGTACACCAATCATTTTTGATATAAAATACCTCTTTAGACAAACCAAATCCCTCAACTAGCACATACCCTAGTCCCCACTTCCCCTTTTTGTGACTTTGCCACGCCTTCTTTCTGTTATATTCAAGTTGCGAACTTGTTCAAGCAAAAAAAATACTCGGTTTAGTTATTCAGGGATAAACTGATTCGACAAGAAGGCTATATAGAAACAAGTTATTGCTCAACCGAGAAAGTGAAACTGTTAAAAATAAGCAAAGAACCAATCGATTCACATTGCATATTTAGAGGCCGCTGAAATTTTCCCGTTGTATGATGAGTAACAGGAACCATATTCAGAGTTATTTAATATGCTTGCTAATACAAGCCTCAAATATCATATCAAAATTGAATCAAAACCCTATTACTTTGAAGAGAAATCAATCAGCCTCAGAATCATCATTTTCCAAATACATTTCTACTGCTTCAGAATTTGCTGTTCCATACTCTTCTTCCTCCTTTCTCTTTCTCTGTTCTTCTATTTCCCTCTCCGTGGCCTCAGCCTTAGCAGATTTGAGCCTGGAACTCACAGCTTCCCAAGAAACAAGCTTATCCATGAAGATAGATAAATAATCTGGTCGCCGGTTCTGTAAATGATGACATGGCAACGTCGCTATTAGGTTGTTGAGAAGTGTGAGAAAGCATCAGCTATGAGTGTACCTAACATGAAGATAATCACTGCTCACCTGATAGTCGATGTAATAAGCATGCTGTATATGGAAAAAAGACAACGTCAATAAAACATGAAAACCAGTTACAAGTCATAGTTTAAAGGAATAAACAATATAAAATTCGTAATTGTTACCTCCCAAACGTCAACAGTAAGTAGTGGCTGCAACAAATGAGGAAAAAAAAGCCATGAGAATCTCAAATAAGAGTAACAATTAAACCAAAAAAGAAGAAAGAATCAGACAATAACACCAATGTCGATAAAAGGTACACTTTAGGTAATTTTGAAACTATACGATTAAGGTGGAGCTTGAAAGACACTAAGATACTCACAAAGTAATCCCATACTAGAGGATTCACAGCATTAGGACTCTTCACCACTAAAAGCTTCTTGTCCTCATCCGATGGACGTGGATTTACTGCATTTCCAACATCCAGTCTATTTGCTTTGTCTTGAAAAAAAAAAAAAAAAACACTGTCAATTTCTATAAATTTATTTCAACCAAAACCATAATCATGATTAGATAAATAAACTAAAAAGAAAAAGGGATAGAATTCAGGGCAAAAGCATACACACAAGCCACGCCCAACCAGAACCAAACTGTGTTGTCGCAGCCCTCTTGAACTCTTCAACAAATTCTTCGAAAGAACCAAAGTCTCTGTTAATTAAATCTAGAAGTTCTCCTGAAGGTTTTCCTCCACCACCTGGTTTCATTGACTCCCAGAAAAAATCGTGATTCCAGACCTGTCAATGTGCAAAATGATGAATGCTGCACGAAAACCAATAGCACAGTTTTTATGAATGAAGTTATATCCAATTCATTTTAAGCACTTGTCAGAGCTTGTTTTACAAAGAGAAACAAAAATGAAATGGAACGGTTCGGGATAAATTCATGTGCATGAAGTAACTCTTCTTGAAGAAAACTTCTGTCTCACATTAACTGGTGATGGTCAACTCAAAACATTGAAAACCTAAGGTGCAGACTTGTGCATTTGACATATATGCTCGTACTAAAGCATACAGAAGGTTAAATTTTATACAAGGCACACCTGAGCAGCATTGTTGAAGGGTGGAAGGAGATCTCCTTTGTTATATGTAACAAATACTATGTCTTCTAATGTCATTCCATCTAGTTCTGTTCCAGCTATTTGCTTGTTGAGGTTGTCTACATAAGCCCTGTGATGCTTTCCCCAGTGGTATTCAAATGTTTCATGGCTCATATGAGGCTCCAAAGCATCCTAAATCATACCCATGGGTGTAAAGAGCAAAAGATACTAGTAAATAATATAAAACTGATATGGAAAGATGTATGAATGCATGGAGATAATTGATATGCGCAATTTAGTTTTGTACTGAAACCGACGTAAATGCTTTGGCAAGTCCCCACTTGTGGTTTCAAGTCAATACCACTGTTTACTCATCGATAAGAAAAGTAGGAACTAACAAGTTTAATCAGAGATAATCAGCAGAAAAGCTAAGAAGATCAGCTTATTTGGTTTGGGAGTCCATATACACAGAATGACTTTAAAGAACCTAACATTATGTTTGGAGTAATTTCATATAAGATATATGATTATTATCAATTTCAAATGACCAACGGTATGGAAGCTAGGCTTGGTCAATGTTAGAATATGATTAACATATATCCCCCGTAAGTAGACAAATATTACAAAATTCAGTGAAGGGAGACAAGAATTAAGAAGACAATTCAGTGATCTAACTGTCATAAAAATTGGCATTTCTGTGGCCATATATTCATACTCATCAACCCTATATGTTCAAAACTCCCAGAATTCAATTAGTCACACTTACTTAGAAATTACACAAATTGCAAAACAGATCCATCAAGAGGTTTAAGATAAAGATTCAATAGGAATTAGCATGAAGAAGTGTGATTAAACACAGCAAGCAAAAGTGTAAGCTTGCTTCTATCAAAATTAAGCTGAATGCCAGAATATGTAATATCACGACCCTCTCAAGAATGTATATCTTAATTATGGTCAGTGTTTTTCTTTTTTTTGGCCAAGAGGACCTGAAGTTTCTATCCAAGGGCAAAAAGCGTAAATCTTCACTAATCCGATTTAAGTGTTTAATCAGGGCATCAAAATCTTATGCTCTAGGAGTGGCCTAGATTCAATTTATTTTAATTATTTTAATTTAGCCTTAAACCAGATTCAATTTTCATCAAAAGCCTTGCAATTGAACAACTTTCATAAATGGGTGGCAGTGATAGATAAAAGCTTAGGCTTAAGCTAAGAAAGGGGCCATAATTATTTAATTATATGTAGGATTCAATATTAATAAGACGAAGTAAATCTAAACAATGCAAGATATCCCCAAAAAAATGATTAAAAAATCACATAGGAAGCAGTCTGAGTACTTTACAGGTCTTACCAGTTGGTATGGTGGGGGTTTTAGGTCAAATTTGGCTGTTATTACACCATGGCCAGCTTTCCTTGCACACTGTCTCTGCAATGCAAATACTCAAAAAGCCTTGTATCACTTACAAACAATCATCAAATTTGGGTTCAAAATTAACTTTGGCATCCTAGATAGAAATCAACAGACTAAATAAGAATTATAATATCATTATCCGTAATAAATCACATAAAAAAAGCACGAAACATTTACAGTCTCACATTGACATTTCATCAAACACCAGTGATGCAGTCCACTTAGAAAATCATTCTCTTCATCAACTCAATAAAGAAAGTATTTTCTTTTCAAAATTCCTTATAAGAAACACTATAACCCCCCGGACTGCCGAGTACACAAAGTGCAAACCTCATTTTTTCTCCACTGCAAGCGTCGAGTCGACCCCTGAAATCCTGCACCATAGATCAGATATCAGTGCACAATTTATCACAAAATACTCAACTAATTAGCGGGACTCCATTTATATCATCCGATTACAACCTTGACAGGGAAACAATGCGCATTTCAATGGAGCAGCAATGCCTGTTACTGCATTTGCCACCATCTTATCTTACAAGAACCGTCTGAAGTTTTCGGATGAGAAGGAGAGCGAGAGGGAGACACGTGACAACTTTCTTTACTGCGAAGCGTGTGGCAACCTTAAGACATGTTTTATGACCTCATTACAAATAATATGATTTTTCTGCGGAGCGTGTGGTGACCTTACGACATGTTTTATGACCTTATTACAATATGATTTTAGAGCCCAAATAATTTCCGAAGTGAGATATTTATAAGAGAACTTATTTCGTAAATCAAATTATTTATAAGTAAGATATTTTCTTGAATTTGATTTATGTTCTTTTGATCGAATAACTAATATCAAATCATAAAGATTAAACATTTCGAAAATTATCTGTAAAAACTAATTAATAAGATGGGAAGGTCACCAGTTGTTATATTCATAAGATTTTTACATTAGTTGGATTTTCATATAAAACGTTCCTTAGTCCTTTTAAGTATTGTTTGATTTAGTTAAAAGTTGATAAAAATTTAAGTTAAAGTCGAGGATTAATTTTAACAATACATTTTATGGAATTCACAACTTTTTATCAAAATTTGATTTTGTTAAAACAAAACATGCGCTTAATTTCATATATTGAAAGAAGTGATTTTCAAAATTTAATAAATATTTTATTATATAAGAAAGAACTAAGAAGTGTCATTTTCTAAAGTTAATAATGTTATAGTGATATAATCATCGACTCTCTATTTGTGAGTTCCTGTCAAGGAGGCTGACGAAGGCCCTATTTTTTTTTTTTTAAGCAAAATTCCAATATAGTGAGTGGTTGGCACTACGTGCAATGTGGTACCATTACTCTGTGTAGTACAAATTTGTGACTAAAACTTGTAAGATAGGATATAGCCCTCGTTTTTTAAGGATTAAAATTAAATTTTTTAATAAATTTTAATAAAAGTTGATCGTTAAAAAATTGTGAATTTCATAAAACACATTATTAAAATTAATTATTAATTCAAAATTGAATTAAAATCATAATTTCAATCCCCATGAACATAAACATAGTTCACAACAAAACCAGGATGATCATTCATCGACCATGGATAGCTCAACCGTGAGAGTATGAACAAGATTCAACAATTATTTGAATTTTATTTTTTTTAATACTCAAGAGCTTGATTCATACAATCCATGCATTAACGCTATTAAAAACGTAATAGAAATTTATCACAAAAAGTTCTTTATTCCCTTATTGACCACACATTCCATACATTCACGCTGTTCAAAACATAACTAGAAAAACATGACTGATAGAGCTATGATCCTACCCAGAGAAACAAATCAACCACAGGTTCATCGCTTTCAAACTACATTACTAATGCTTCAGAATTTGATGTTCCATTATTCTTCCAGCCTCCTTTTTATTCGCCTGGTTCTTCTCTTTCCCCCTAAGCAGCACCAGCCTTAGCAGATTCAAGTCTCGAACTGACTGAGTCCCAAGAAACAAGATTCTCCATGAAGATCGATATATAATCTGGCCTCCGGTTCTGTAAATGAAGGCATGGTAGGTTATTGAAACGTGTGAGAAAGGATGCATCACAAATATGAAGAAAATCACTACTGACCTGATAATCGAGGTAGTAAGCGTGCTGTATATTGGAAAAAAAAAAAATTAAATAAGAAGACAAAGTAAATAAAACATGAAAATCAGTTACATGTCATCGTCTCAAGGAATGAACTACAGAAAATTTCTGATTGATTACCTCCCAAACGTCTACTGTAAGTAGCGGCTGCAACAAATGAGCAATACAATGACATGAGATTGTCAGATAATAAGAACAATTACACCGAAAAACAAGAAAGAGCGAGATGATAACACCAAATTCAATACAATGTATTATTAAAATGGAAACATGAAAGACACTAAGATACTCACAACTTGATCCAAGACAAGAGGATTCACGGCATTGGGACTCTGCACCACAGCAAGTTTTTTGTCCTTGTCCTTGTCTAGATGGAAAATAATAAAAAGGGGTGTCGATTTTTCATGTTTAGATAGATATATTTAAAAGCAAAATAGGGATAGAAAGGCTTACACACAAGCCACGCCCAACCAGAACCAAATTGTGTTGCTGCAGCTGTCTTGAACTCTTTGGCAAAATCTTCAAAAGAACCAAAGTCCCTGTTGATTAAATCTAAAATTTCTCCAGATGGTTTTCCTCCACCACCTGGTTTCATGGACTCCCAGAAGAAATCGTGATTCCAGACCTGTAAATGTGTAAAACGACATGTGAATTCTATGAATAAAGGTGCAGAGTTCTGCGGTCGAGACATAAAAATATACCTGAGCAGCATTGTTAAAGGGTGGAAGGAGATTTCCGCTGTTATATGTAGCAACGATTACATCTTCTAGTGTCTTTCCGGTGAGTTCTGTTCCGGCTATTTGCTTGTTGAGGTTGTCTACATAAGCCCTGTGATGCTTTCCCCAATGGTATTCAAATGTTGAACGGCTCATATGAGGCTCCAAAGCATCCTAAATCATATTCCATAATCCATCATTGTGAATAGCGTAAATTAATTACACAAATTGCACTACCAAGAGAGGCTTATGATAAAGATTATCTAGGAATTAGCATGAAGCTGAACAAGTAATTTCATGACCCTTTAAAGAATGTGCCCCTATTTGAGCTCCATTCTTTAAAACTTATTTTTTTCCACACTTATTTTCAATCACAATTCTTTTAATAAAATAATTTTGCATATAAACTTAGAACTTTTTCCAACTTTTTAACCGCCCATTTTCAAAAGGTCACTTCTTACAAATCTATTCTAAAAAAGGGACGATATATTTCCACTGATCGGACTTGAGTGAACCTGTAGCGGGATATTTTGAGGATGCAAGTGGGCAACTTGCACAACTCGTCAAGCTTATGTCGCAGGAATTGGACATACTTGTTCAAATTACACCCTCAGTGTAAGGTAAATTTACACTTCAGATACTGTATTTACAGTATGGTAACATAACCAACTTTTGCTAAAAAAAAATTTATAAATGCTAAAAAAAGTCCAGTGAAGCATTTTTTATTTTTCAATGTGTAATTAACTTAATAAAATTAATTTTTTATTTATTGATGTTAGAATCCATGAAAAGAAGATAATGAATTTCAGAAAATCTCACACACAAAAATCATTTGTCAAAGAAAAAAAATTAATGAAAAATCAAATATCCCGTAATGTTTAAGCTAAATTCAATTTTCAGCAAAAGTATTACAGACGGGGCTTATCACAGAGGGAGGGAGCAGTGTTTAGGTCTTACTTACCAGTGGGTACGGTGGTGGTCTTAGTTCGAATTTGCCAGTTATTACACCGTGACCAGCTTTCTGCAATACAAATACACAGAAAGCCTTGTATTAATTTACCCAGAATCATCAACAGTTTTACATTGACATGAATTTATCATTTTCTTCATCCACTGAATAAAAAAAGGTAAAGATTTTTCTAATTGGACATTCAGACCTGACTCATTCTCAACTGCGAGCTTCGACTCGATCTCCGAAACCCGGGAAATAATGGGAATGTCAATGGAGTAGTAATGCCTGCTACTGCAATTGCCACCATTTTATCTCTCACTGGAAACTTCTGAAATTTTACTTTGTGGCGGGCGTGTGGTACATGTTTTATATGAAGTACAACTATGTACTTAAACTTGCAAAATGTTCGATTTTTTTTTTTTTTTTTTTTTTTATATTTTGAAATTTAAAAAAAAAAAAAAAAAAAAAAAAAAAATATATATATATATATATATATATATATACACTTTTTAAGCCAAATAATGTCCAGTGAGAAATATTTTTATTTACTTGACATTCTTGTAGTAAAGAAGGTTCGCATTCTCTATTTTGCTCAATATAATGTTACGGCTTGCACGAAGTTTATATTTATAAGATTATCTTCAATCGTAATGTAAAATAAATTTAAATTATGATTTAAATCTTCAAGATGATCGAAAAAAATTTCATTGAAGAGATGCAAAGAAAATGTAAATTACATTTTTTGACAAAAAAATGAGAAAAAACATAAGAGATAAAAAAGTGAATTTAGATCTTTCTAATATAACATCTGAATTTAGATCTACCAAAATGCTAATGAAGATGTAAAAGTAATTTTAAAAATATCAATTTACACCTAATTTGATACTCAAGATCTTTGAATGAGCCATTCTTTATTTTTTTTATTCATATATAATTTATATATTGAAAGAAGTGAATTCAAAATTATCAAATATGAAAAGGGAGTCATTTTCTAAACTATAGTGAAGTAATTAGTACAACATGGCATATTGTACTAACCACAAGTGTACTACAAATTTGTGAACGGATCAAAACGTGGAAGGTGGATATAGTTCGCAAATACAATATCCCAAGGCATGGAATTATATATTTAAAAAAAAAATGTTTTCAATAAAAAACTAAATTACAAAACATTGATTTGTCCACATAGTTTGAATAAAAAACATTTTGCTCCGATCCTTCTAGACTTACTTCATCATAAATATCCCTTGTCTCGTGAGTTAACGATGATAGTCCGTGAGTTAACTCCGGCGTGTAATGGCGATGATCATCCATGAGTTAATTCTAGCAGTCAATGATGACGACTATGCATCGACCATGATAGGATCAATGAGATTTGATGAATACTCAAGCTTGGTTCATACACGAGGGACAAGAATGATATGATGGATTCACTCTCAACCTTAGATGGTTATTATCACTTGAGAAGAAATTAACTCGACAACTATTTGAAATGAAAGCATCTATTATTTACATGTAATTAGGAACAAAAAAAATCATAATTCGCTCCACAAAATCAA